ACAAATTGAAAGTTTACAGAAAAATCTCTCTTCAACCTCTGTCCTCAGCCACCTTGTTCCCTTCCCTGGAGACCATATTATCAAATGGTTCTGGGTTCTTCCAGAGACATATCATGCAAAGATTATTGTTTTACTATGTTGAAGCAGCATTCTTATTTCAGTTGTGGTTATATTTCTCTATTTAGTAAGAAAAAAAAGATGGGGCTTCCCTGGTGGCACAGTAGTTGAAAGTCCACCTGCCAGTGCAGGGGACATGGGTTTGAGCCCAGGTCTGGGAGGATCCCACATGCCGTGGAGCAACTAGGCCCGTGCACCACAACTGCTGAACCTGCGCTCTGGAGCCTGTGAGCCACAGCTACTGAAGCCCACATGCTGCAGCTACTGAGGCCTGCGTGCCTGGAACCCATGCTCCACAACGGGAGAGGCCACCGTGGTGAGAGGCCCGTGCACTGTGGCGAGGAGTGGCCTCTGCTCGCCACAACTAGAGAAAGGCCGCGCACAGCAACGAAGACCCAACACAGCCAAAAATAAATAAATTTTTTAAAGAAAGAGTAATTATGAGAAAAAATATACAAGGGAAAGGTCAATTCTTAGTTCAGCTTGTCACAGATATTGTGTACATGCTGTGGGCCCACCCTGAATTGATGCAGCAGAGAATATGGAAAAACCTGTAAGATGTGGTCTAGCTGAGGAGTGGCCTACTACAGTGCTTGAACCAAATCCTGATGCATGAGTAGGAGTTGAGTAAATGCATCTTTGTATTATAAATACTGCCAAGACTGAAAACTTCCCTAACCTGGGAAAGGAAACAGATATCCAGGTTCAGGAAGCACAGAGGGTTCCAAACAAGATGAACCCAGGAGGTCCACACCAAGACACTTAGTAACTAAAATGGCAAAAATTAAAGATGGAGAATCTTAAAAGCAGCAAGTAGAAAAGCAGCTAGTTATGTACAAGGGAACTCCCATAAGACTGTCAGCTGACTTTTCAGCGGAAACTCTGCAGGCCAGAGGGACTGGCATGATATATTCAAAGTGATGAAAGAAAAAACCCTACAATCAGGAATACCTGTCAAGGCTATCATTCAGATTTGAAGGAGAGATAGAGTTTCACAGACAAGCAAAAGCTAAAAGACTTCAGCACCACTAAAGCAGCTTCACAAGAAATGTTAAAGGGACTTCTCTAAGCAGAAAAGACCACACTAGAAATATGAAACTTGTGAAAGGAAAAATCTTATTGGTATAGGCAAACATTCAGTAAAGGTAATTAATCAACCACTTATAAATCTAGTAGGAAGGTTAAAAGACAAAAGTAGTAAAATCATCTGTATCCACAATAAGTAGTTAAGGGATACACAAAACAGAAAGTTATAAAATATGATGTCAAAAACATTAAAGGTGCGTGGGGGGAGTAAAAGTGTAGAGTTGTTAGAGTGTGTTTGAACTTAAGAAATTGTCAATTGAAAATAACTCTGTGTGTGTGTGTGTGTGTGTGTGTGTGTGTGTGTGTGTTGTTATATATGAACGTTATGGTAACCAGAAATCAAAAACCTATAATATACACACAAAAACAGAAAGGAATCCAAAGATGAAACTAAAGGTAGTCATCAAATTACAAAGAAAGAGCACAAAAGAAGGAAGGAACAAAGAAGAACTACAGAAACAACCAGAAAATAATGAACAAAATGGCAATAAGTACATACCTATCAATAATTACTTTAAATGTAAATGGACTAAGTGCTCCAATCAAAAGACATAGACTGGCTGAAAGGATACAAAAACAAGATCCAGGGCTTCCCTGGTGGCACAGTGGTTGAGAGTCCGCCTGCCGACGCAGGGGACACGGGTTCGTGCCCCGGTCCGGGAAGATCCCACATGCCGTGGAGTGGCTAGGCCCGTGAGCCATGGCCACTGAGCCTGCGCGTCCGGAGTCTGTGCTCCGCAATGGGAGAGGCCACAACAGTGAGAGGCCCGCGTACTGCAAAAAACAAACAAAAAAACGAAAACAACAACAAGATCCATATATCCTGCCCACAGGGGACTCACTTCAGATCTAAAGACACACACAGACTGAAAGTGAGGGGATACAAAAAAGTATTCCATGGAAATGAAAAGAAAGCTGGAGTAGCAATACTTCTATCAGACAAAATCGACTTTAAAAGAAAGACATTTTATAATGATAAATGGATAAATCCAGCAAGAAGATATAACAATTGTAAATATATATGAAGCCAACATAGGAGCACGTAAATACATAAAGCAAATATTAGCCAGTGCTGTCCAAAAAATGTGAGCCACATTTGAAAATTTCTAGTAGCCATATTAAAGTGAAAAGGAACGGGTGAAATTAATTTTAGTAATATATTTTAGTACAATATATAAGTAATATATAATTTCAACATGTAGTCAATATAAAATTGTTAATGAGATATTTTATATTTTTTTGTTATGTGAAGTCTTTGGAATTTGGTGTGGATTTTACATTTACAAGCACATCTTAATTCAGACTAGCCACATTTCACGTGCTCAGTAGCCACATGTAGGAGTAGCTTTGGTATTGGATAGCACAGCTCTGGATGCTGTATAAAGGGGACGTGCACATCCACTACTTGCTCATGGTGGAATCCCTGGGTGTAATTCAGAGAGAACAAGTATACATATTAAAATCATAAAGCATCTCCTATTTAGTTATGCATAGTTTTGTGTTTGGGGTGAAACGAGTATAGTATAGCCACGTGTGAGGCTTGCTATTGGGTTTGGCAGTTGGTCATCTGGCTGGTTTCTTCTGATGGCTCCCCAGGTACCCGAGTCCTACCCCTGCCTCCGTTTTTTGAGGAAGTGCTTGCTTCTCTCTTCCTTAGAAGTCTCCAGATACTGAATAGTGTTCTTAAAGAGAGGAAAAATGCAGGTTAGTTGTTGTTGTTGTTGTTTTTTAATATTTATTTATTTTGGCTGCACTGGATCTTAGTCGCGGCATGTGAGATTCTTTTAGTTGCGGCAGGCGGAATCTAGTTCCCCAACCAGGGATCGAACCTGGGCCCCCTGCATTGGTAGGGCGGAGTCTTACCCACTGGACCACCAGGGAAGTCCCAGGTTAGTTGGTTTTGCTTTTCTAGCGTTTTCCACTCTCTACCCAGGACCATCGTAGGGGAAATTTATTTGGCAGGTTCTTTCGGATTCCCCTTAATAACACTTGTAAGTAATGAGTATTTTCTGCATTCAAAGGAAAATAAACATTTACAGCAAAATCTACCTATTGCCAGTGTTGTACTTCTGCATTTTGCCCTTGATTTGGGTATAGGTTAGAAAATAGCCAGACCCCCTGTCAAAGCTTCGGGTGGAAGTTACTGTTGATCAGCAAGTTTGGCCCTTCTAATCGTTAGGACTGAAGAAAATGGAGTTCTTAAGAAAGAAAGTTTGAGACACATGGATAATTCAATTCATCAAACATTTTTTTGAGTCAACTTTGCCAGTAGGGTGCTAGACAGTAGACTTCAAGTCCTATGTTCAGATAATTCAGTCTGATGTTAGGGCAGATAGGAAGAGATTTACACGTGAGTAACATCTGAGTCTTTCAAGAGTTCTTTAATGGAGGGATAGAATCGTGTCATGGCATATTACTTGGGAGGTGATGACATGTATGTGAGGCTTTCTGCTTTACTCAGAGAAGCTGTACACACATGTGAACATGCACAAGGATGATTTCCTCCAACCTAGGGTAGAGTTGGGTAGATTTATGGGATTGTGACATGTTTTGTGAAGGGGTTTTATAATAACAATAATGGGGCTTTCAGCTGTTGAATGATAAACATTTGGAAATGCAGTCATACTCTGCAGTTGGAAATTTATTAAATTTATAAATTGCACTAGAATCCCTTTCCATGGCTCTCATGATTCCTGTCTGTTTCTAGCTTGATAATAAATAATTGCATCTTAGTACAATTCTTTTCTAATCTAAAACAGAATGAAAGCAAGCTAGGAAGCCTGTCGAGGGAAGGGAACCCCTAATGCTATTGACCCAATCAAAGTTTTAAAATGGCAGTTAATAAAGGAAAACTATGATTTTGGACTAGAAAATTTTTCAAGTGGCTGCATAAATGATGTCTTTCTTAATTTAGAAGTGAGATTTGTGTTTATTGGGCATTTGTTTTAAATTTAGCATATACTCTGGGTCTGTTGATCTCGACAGCATGTTTCAGTGCAGACTAGCCACATTTCCAGTGCTCAGCAGTGGTTCTCTGTGGTATGCCAGACTCTGTGGCTGGCCACACAGAAACAAGAAGCTTGGTGTCCAGAATAATCCTTAGTAAAAATGTATGTGTAATGTTACTTCCACGTTTATGAGCCAGAGGAAATTGAGGTCAAGACTAACCTGAACTTCCAGTTTGTATCATGCAGAGCTGGGATTCACCAAACAGCCAAAGCCCCTTCATGGAGAAGTACTACTTTTCTATGTAAGAGAAATGGGGCTGAATTCTCACACAGAATACCGCTGGTCTAGACAAGGGTAAAGGGCCTGGCCAAGGTGGCAGCCCTGGCGAACTACCTGTCAATCAGCGTGTGGTAGCATTTTCCGACCCCCATTTTCTCTGCGTTTAATTGGTAGCCATACAATGTGGATTGGCTAGTTTGGGAATGGCAGTTATTCGCTCTTGATATGTTTCTGGTCTTATAGAAAAGCCCAGTTTAATCTCAATTCTGGTCCCAGGCAGAAAGCATTCAGAAAGAGCGTCAAAGGAAAAGTAACATGTTACCTAGGATACCAAATGGAAATACAGTACAAGTCAGGGAAACTGTTGAGGTCTGTTTATTTATCTATTTTGATTTTTTTTTTTTTTTTGGTACGCGGGCCTCTCACTGTTGTGGCCTCTCCCGTTGCGGAGCACAGGCTCCGGACGCACAGGCTCAGCGGCCATGGCTCACGGGCCCAGCCACTCCACGGCATGTGGGAACTTCCCGGACCGGGGCACGAACCCGTGTTCCCTGCATCGGCAGGCGGACTCTCAACCACTGCGCCACCAGGCAAGCCCAGGTCTGTTTATTTTTTGTCTTATTTTCTTTGACTCCTTGACTGCAACTTCGGTCTTATACGCCGCTCATAGAAAGTCAGCAAGGCAACTACGATAGTACTTCAGGGGTTAAATCACTTAGAATTTAAACCCCAGAAATAAGGTTTATTGTGAAGGCAAAACTCCCTTTGGTGGGATTCCACAGCTGTGAGAAAATGTGGAGTGCCTACAAATTGACAACCAAATCAAGATAATTTATTTATTGTCCACACCTGAGGTTTTCTTTAGCGCTAAGTCATTTGATGTGCAAAGAAAATAGCAAAGTAGGTAAATATGGTGGCATATACTCATCATGTAACTGAAAATGTCTTTTTTCTTTTATATCTCTTTTTTCCCTTAAGAGACATACCTAATAGTGACCTTATTATGCAAGGGAGCAAATCTGGCTGTTGAAATCTTGTAAAGCACATTTGCCATACCTTATTTAAGCATTGGAAATCCTATTTTATGATAGTAATCAAAGTGGTAAAATTATAAATCACTTATGTGTAATAGAGCTCATGAAAAGTTGGAAAAGTATAAATTGTTAATATGTAAAATAGCTGTATGAAATCACTTTAAAAGAAGCAATTCTTTGAGAAAACATTGGGAATATTAACAGTGGTTATCTTTGGGTGATGGGAAATATAGGTGAATTTTTTCCTTGTTCTAATTTCCTTTATTTTTAAAGAGTCATCTGGAACGAGTCAGTGAAACATTTGACTTTTGTTTATTTAATTAAAAAAGATCTCTGACAGAGAGCTTAGTTCATCATGAATCTCCATTCACGGCTCGCTATCCTCCGTGGTCAGTCCAAGGCCCCAGTTTTTTTTTTTTTTTTTGGTATCCCCTCTCCCCACCATGTTCTTGAAAAGGTACAAATCCCTGAAACATTGACAGTGTTGTTTTATGCACGTGTTTATGTCTCATTTCTATAAATGGCATTGTGCTACAATTCTTATTTTGTTTTTTTACTGCTATCTTTCAGCACCATGATTTTAAAGTCTATCCCCACTGCCATTTGTACGTTTAGTTCGTTGCTTTGGGTTGCTGTGTAGTATTCCTCAGTCTGCATTCATTACGTTTCCTTTTGTATTTCTTGAGTTGCATCCACTTTCCTGCTACCACAAACAGTGCTGCAAAGATTATCTTTGAACTTGTGCCCTAGTGGAGCTATCTGCGAGTTTCTCTGGAGTACCAGGAGATCCAGGAGCAGAATCGCTGGGCCATAGGAAACAGGCACACTTAACTGAGACACAGGCAGCCAGGTTGCTTTTCTGGAAAGTGGCTGCAGCAGCCTGTGCACATTTCCATCAGCAGGTCAGGCATGGGCCAGGTCCCCCACCCCCACCTGCTAAGTATTACCCACCTTTCTAAGTTTTCTCTGTCTGATGGGTGCAAAGTGGTATCTTGCTGTTTTGACATTTCTCTGATTGCTGGTGATGTTAGCATTCTGACTTCCACCTTTGTGCATTGCCTCTTCTTAATCTTTGTTTTTGTTTCTCTGATTTCCTGACTTAAAAACAAATCTATCTATATCTATGCTAGCTTCATTGAGATATAATTCACACATCATACAATCTACCCACTTAAAAAGCATTCATTGCTTTTTAGTATACTCACAGTGTTGTGCAGCCATCACCATGATCCATTTTAGAACATTTTCGTCAGCTCCAAAAGTGGCTGTTCCTTGAGCTCCAGGAGACCTGTTTAGGTTGGGCACTCCCTGTGACCTTGCTGATCCCACAGGCCTGAACGAAAGGTCCGTGGGACTCTGGTTGCTGAGGCCCTGGTTTCTGCCTTCCACAGCTTGGTTGTTCAGCTTGCTTTTGAGTGTGTGTCCTTCCGATGAATTCTCCCACAGCCCACACCCTCGCTTTGTGCTTATTGCCAGCATTGGTTTCTGTTTGCTTACAACCAAAAGAAAACTAAGTCATAAATTTGTACATACAGGAGGGATTTTTGCAAGGAACAGACCCTAGAATGTGAAACTGATTGAGAATGGCAAAGCCTGCCCTGTTTTTTATAATAAAGGGCAGCAAAACTGCTGATCAGACTGTGCTTCATTTTTTTTTCCTGGGACTGTGCACCTTACGTGTAAAATGTCTGGATGTTTCCCAGGGTGGGCTACTTTTCTGCCTTTCTCAAGGTGCTTCCAGAAAGCACTAAGCTTTGGTGTACAGCATCATTAAGAAAGCATATACCCTGGCTGATGATCTGACATACCAAGCGTCTGTCAGTCATGCTCCCTTAGGAAGCAGTCTGCTAAGATGGTGTCATGTGCGGCAGGGGAACCCTCCTGCCACATCGCTCAGGTGGGGCCTTGGAAGACACTGGGTAAAGGAAATCCAGGGGACACAACCTGAGGTGATCAAGGACGTCTCTCCACGGCCAGGGAGGTGAATTGACAAGGAGACTCTAAGGACGTTCCAGGAGGATGATGTCCATGCTTGACACGTTGCTTTTCTTTTTTCCTTTTTATTGAACATTTTTGGTCCCTCCCTGCTCATGTTGTATAACGGATATCATTCAGGCCACAAGTTGCAAGACCTTGAGACGTCACATCTCATCCTGCTTGAGTCATGGACATCACCAAGTGATACTTGACTTGGAAGCTGGATGGGGAGACTGATTTTGAGTTGCCTCATATTGGGAAGGGGGTCAGTTCATTTTTGGTTGTATTTGGATTAGCTGTAGTAGGTGGTAGCATTTAAAAATATGCATAGGAATAAAGGCGTGTGTGTGTGTGTGTATACGCACAATAAACTACCAAGGATAGACTGTGGTATATACACCTGTTGTTTTGTCTTCCCAGTGAAGAAACCTGTAGTCAGGTTTCTGGTGTGATAAAGCTACATAACAACTAACACCCCCAAATCTCAGTGGCTCACAGAAACAAGCACTTATTTCTTACTCATGGGTCTGCAAGTAGTTGTGGCTTTGCAGCACTTGGCTTCTGGCTGCAGGTTGGCTTCTGGTCTGCTCCATATATCCCCAGCGGCTACTCAAGGCCTGTTCTCATGGCCAGTGGCAGAAGTGCAAAAGAGGCCAAGCCAAACCCTGCGAACACAACTAAAGCCTCTGCTGTAATGCCATTGGCTAAATCAGCGAGGGTTGGGACTTATTCTCTGCCCACAGTAAACCCTGGTAACGGAAGGGAAGGAAGGAAGAATTGAGAACAAATAATCCATTCTTCTACACTCCCTCTTCTTTTGAGAAATCCACCATGTGATTTCAATGTGTTTTCTCTCTCCACAGATTACATTGTTATCTGTTCAGTTGCTCATGTTAGAAGCCTAGGGTATAAGAGAAGTTCCAGATTGGGAAGGAAGGAGCGTTTGTTCAGTTTTAGATATATTGAGTTTGAGCTGACTATGGGATAGTCAGAGACATGAGGAGACTGTTGACTATATAGATCCAAATCGAAACTTTTGTGGTTATTTTCTCACTCAAGTTCCTACAGGTTTTATGAGTGGAGCTGATGACAAGTGTTACTAATTTCTTCGAGTGACGGCCACTAAGTTGTCCTTATGCTGTAACTCTTAAGTTTTTCTGTATTCTGAACCAAGACTGGTCCTCTTACCTTTCATATATAACGCTGTGGGTTATTAAACATCAACATCAAGGTTCTCTGCGTGAAATTCCCATGCAGATTTTGTTGACTTCAGAGAAGTTATATGACTGAAGGGCATTAGCAGGTCATATTTTTCAATGTAGACCTGCTTTAGTGCACCATTTGTAAAGGTTCTCCTGAAAAAGGATTTTCTGTGTTTGTGTAAATACACTTGTGTCATCATATCTCATGCAAATTGTCTGTATTGATTAATGGTCTCTTGTTTGCTTCCTTTTGCTTGTTGTATTTATAGCTCACATTACGTATAATTGTTGGACAACATAATATGAACCAGATGGCTTCATTATTCTGTGTTTCACATTTTGAATTTTAGATTTCACATTGGACTGCTTGTTAGCGGCCAGCTGTGTCCTGGAGGAGGAGATAAGGCCAGACCGTAGTTGAAAGATCCTGGGTCAGATACTGTGGACAGTAAGCGCTGTCAAGGTGTTAGCATTTGAGGTTTCTTCTGGCCCTTGGTTTCACTTGGGAATTCAGAGTGGAAGGCCAGAGAGAGAGAGACTGGGTGTCAAAGGCCTTCTGAACCACTCAGCTGGCCTGTGATTGCAGTGTGTTTGAAAAGACTCTTTACCAATAAGCCCACAGAATCTATTATATGTTAGGAATTTTGACCACAGGTAGTAATCTTTAAAAATACGAGTATCAGTCAGGGGCCCAGCAGGAGAGAGATGGTATATTCAAATAGGATAATTGAGGAATGGTTCCTTAAGGGACTATTTCCAATAGCATGGGTTAAGGAAAACAAGGTTCAGTGAAGTAATATTCTAGACTTGAATGAGCAAGAGGGAGGAGACCCAGAGAGCAGCTACAGGTATAGGAGAGAGTGACTGGGCCATAGGATAGCCAGACATTTGGCCTCCCTGATGTGGGTGGGCGTCATCCAATCTGTTGAAGACCTGAGTAGAATAAAGGGGCTGAGTAAGAGGGAACTCCTCCCGTTTGACTGCTGAGCTGGGACAAGTCTTTTCTGGGCTTGGACTCGGCCTAACACATCAGCTCTTCCTGGGTCTTGAGCCTATTGGCTTTTGGACTGGAACTTACTTCATTGGCTCTCCTTGTTCTCAAGCCTTCAGACTCACACTGGAACTCTTCTGGGTCTCCAGCTTGCCAACTCACCCTGCAAATCTTGGGACTTCTCAGCCCCATAATCATGTGAGCCAATTCCTTATAATAAATCTCTATTCGTCTCTCTCTTTGTCACACACACACATCCTATTGGTTCTGTTTCTCTGGAGGACGCTGACTAATACAAAGGCCAAGGCAACTGGTGCTGTGGCCTTTCTTAGACATATAGACATCCTGGCAGGGAACACATCATAGGCAGGGAAGGAGCTGAAGGGATAAATACTTAAATCTCACCCTTCTCCCTGGTGCCTCCAATTGGTTGAACTCGCCTGGAAGTTCTAGAGCAAGGGAGTCAGTGGAGGCAGTCTTTAAAGAGTCTGGGATACAGAGCAGGATGGAGAAAGGTGAAAAGTGGGTCTAGAAGGGCTAATGGAGCCTTTCCATATAATGTATCTAAAACGACTATTGTTACCACTTTCTTATATAGCCTCCCAGAGATATGCTATGCATACAAAAGCATATATGGTGCTCTTGGTAATTTCCATGATATTTCAAACTCTTCCAAAAATATCACTTTGATGGCTGCATAATATTAAAAGCCTTTTACTATGAAATAGTCTTACATAGATGTTACACTTATCTAATATAAATATATTAATGAATGAAACTCCTGTGTATCCCATCATCCTGCTTAAGAACTAGAACACTGCCCAAACTTCAGGACTGCTGTGGGTGCCTTCCCAGTCCCATTGAATGAAGGCTAACCATTATTTTAAACTGTATTATCATTCCTTTGTGATAATAATTTCATTATAATATTTCAGAATATATATGTATTCCTAAACAATATATTGTCACACTTTGTATGACTTTGGCATTTATGTAGTTTCAAATGTATTTGTGTAGTTTGCATGCAGACTTCTGAGAATCGATTTTTATACTTAACATTATAATTTTGTGATTCATCCAAGTAGATGTATATTATTTAATTTTTGATGCTGTATATTGTTCCATTGTGTGTATATACTAGAATTTGTTTATTTTACTGTCAATGGACATTTGTCATTTTTACCTTTTTATAGTATTGCTATCCAATTTCTGTGTGCATTTGTGCCAGAGATTCTCTAGGCCAGATACCTGGAAGGAAAGAAACTGGGTGATGGCGATTACCTTCAACTTTACAAGGTAATGCCGTATTACATTCCAAAGTTGTTGTTCGAATATTCACTCCCCATCGCCAGTGTATTAGTTTTGTTGCTCCGTATCTAAACACCTTTAATCATGAAAACATAACATTAATAGAGTGAAAAGGCAAGACACATAATATAAGAAGAAAATTTTCAACACATATATTGAACAAAGGACTAATATTCAGTTTATCAGTGAGAGAAATACAGACATTTCAACTTTTAAAAGTGAGCAAAAGACTTGAACAGATACTTCATAAAAAAGGATTTCTGAGTTGCCGATAAACTTATGAAAAGGTGTTTCACTCATTAGTTCTTCAGGGAAATGCACATTTAAGACACAATGAGAAGCCTCCTCTGTACTCCCCAAATCCTAGCACTAGGAAAACTGATCTTGCTAAGTGTTGGCAATGATGTGGAGTACCAAAAACTCTTTTTCTCTACTGGTGGTCATGTATCTCCGTACAACCACACTGGAAAATTGGTAGTATCTACTAAAGCTGAACATAGGCATAGCTATAACACACAATTCCATTCCCAAAAGAAATTCCTACAAAATGTCAGTAATAGCATTATTCATCAGAATCAAACACTGAAAATAGCCCACATGTCCATCAAAAGTTGTATATACTTGCAACAAAATGGATGCATCTCACAACTGTGGGGAAGAATGAAAGATACTAGATACAAAAAAGAACATTCTGTATTTTTTTAGTATATATATAAAATCCCCCAATGGACAGAACTGACTGATGGTAATAGAAGTAAGGACGATTAGTTAGCTTCGGGGAAGGTGATGACTTGGAGTGGACATACTGGGGGCATCCAGGACTAATATTCTTTATCTTGTCCTGAGAATGAGTACATGGGTAAATTCATTTTGTGGGAGTTCAATGAATTATGTACTTATGGTTTCTGTACTTCTGGTACTTATGTACACTTCAGTAAGAACTATCTTGAGGGGACTTCCCTGGTGGTCCAGTGGTTAAGACTCTGAGCTCCCAATGCAGGGGCCTGGGTTTGATCCCTGGTCAGGGAACTAGATCCTGCTTGCATGCTGCAACTAAGACTCTGCATGTCGCAACTAAAGATGCCACATGCTGCAACTAAAAAAGATCTTGCGTGCCACAACTAAAGATCCCATGTGCCACAACTAAGACCTGGCACAGCCAAATAAATAAATATTAAAAAAAAAAGAACTATCTTGAAAATGCCATATGTTTGGAAATTAACAAACACATGTCTAAATGATCATGAGTAAGAAAAGAAATCATGATGGAAATTTAATAATGACAATACTGCATATCAATACTTGCAGGTTAAGTGGTACTATAAGGGAAATTTGTAGTCTTACATGTTTACACTGGAAAAGAAGAAAAGCTTATAAATATGTGTCGTGTCCAAATATAGCAATAAAACCTTTTCTAAAAGAAGGATAAAGAAAGAAATAACAATAAATGGAATAGAAAACAGACACAATTTAAAAAACTCAACAAAGACCAAAAGTTGAGTCAAGAAAACAAAAAAAGGGAAAAAGCACATATAAACAACTTTAAGGATGAAAAAGGAGGACATAGCTACAAGAAGTCCAACCATGTCTACCTGTACAGATTTTGTTTTCCAAAGATCACCCTGCTTGGGGAATGTATTATAGAGGAACTTGAGTGAATGCAAACAGAGTAGTTAAGAGTTTATTGCTGTAATCCAGGTAAGATGTAATGTAGCTCTTATTGGGACTAGAGTCTTGCTTAGGGATGACACTCACATTCTAAGGTTATCCATTTACTGTCTTAAATTTTCTTCTAATATATATATATATATATATATATATATTTATATATATATTTATTTATTTTTTTATTATTATTATCTTTTTTTTGCAGTACGTGGGCCTCTCACTGTTGTGGCCTCTCCCGTTGCGGAGCACGGGCTCTGGACGCACAGGCTCAGTGGCCATGGTCACGGGCCTAGCCGCTCCGTGGCATGTGGGATCTTCCCGGACCAGGGCACGAACCCATGTCCCCTGCGTCGGCAGGTGGACTCTCAACCACTGTGCCACCAGGGAAGCCCGCCTTCTAATATTTTTATTGTTTTATTTTTACACTTAAAACTGTAATCTTCATCTGGAATTTAAAAATACATAGTAGGAGGTAGAGCGATAGTGTTTATTTTCAGATGCAAAACCATTTAACGTAATACAACTCGTTTAAAAATAAATTGAAATACCACCCTTGTAAATTAAGTTTCTGTATTTACTTGAATCTGTTTCTGAATTCTGCATTCTTTGTTCTACCATGAATTTGTCTCTTCATATGCAGATACTATACAGCAGGTTTTACAGTAAGTCTTAATATCTGGGAAGATAAATTACTCCCCTCAGAATTTTTCTTTTATCTTTCCTTGGTTTTATTTTGTTACATTTATTCTTCTATATAAGCTTTAAAATAATTTTACCCTTTAAAAAATTCTGATATTCACACTGATTGGAATGGCGTTTGTATTTTAATTTTAGAAGAATTGACACTCGTCTTCCCTTCCAGAAACATGTTCTAACTTTCCGTTTATTCAGGTCACCTTTTCTTTGCCATGAATATAGATTTCAGAACTTGACTGTAATTATGTTCAGCATTTTATGTCTTTCACTTGAATATTTGAAAGTAATATTCATTTTACATTATGCAGTTTAACAAGCAAATAGTGCTCATTTAGTTAATCCCTTAATAGTCTAAACACTTCCAACCTTTCAAGTATGTCATTTTGAATATGGAAATTCTTCTTGCTCTGAGAATTACTGAAAACCTCTGATTCATGATTAGGTTGAAGAGAAGGAAAAGTATTAAATTTAGATTAATCAGTAGGGGTGAGGGATAAATTGGGAGGTTGGGATCGATACATACACAATACCATGTATAAAATAGATAACTAATAAGCATCTAATTATAGCACAGGGAACTCTACTCAATACTCTGTAATGACCTATATGGGAAAAGAATCTAAAAAAGAGTGGATATATGTATATGTATAACTGATTTGCTTTGCTGTACACCTGAAATTAACACAACATTGTAAATCAACTATACTCCAATAAAAATTATTAAAAATAATAGAATTAGATTAATCAACTTAATATAACGTAACAGACAGTCATGTGTAACTTTTGAATATGTTATGCACCATTGTCTCTTTTACAGATGCCTCTTTGCAGCTTTTCATTTCATCATGTAGCAAAGACACAGGGGATTAGTTTGGGATTTGAATCAAGTTATCTTCATAGTTTCTGGGTGAATCAGGTTTACAAGTTCATCCAGAATTATTCAACAGTCAATAAAGAAGGTGCACGGACATCTAACATCCTCCACTCCCCCTGTAACCACCACCGTGATGCTTAGAGAGGAAAGAGACTACTTTCAAATAGCAAGACTCCCAATGAGTAGGAATGATCAAAAGGCGTTATCAACACGAGCAGTTATTTTTCTTTTATGTTTCAGTGAGATTCTCGTCTAGCAGAGTAAGATGACAGATGCAGCCCCTACTTATTACTTGGCTTGGGTTTCCCTACAGAAATGATTCTGGAAACACCAACAGGCTTGCATCCTTACGTGAGGCAGAGGATCTTTGGAGATGGACATAGAAGGTAAGTGAAGGGGAACTAATCAACACTCTCCTTTCTCTTGCCAAAGACAAATCCTTTTTTTTGCGGTTCGCGGGCCTCTCACTGTTGTGGCCTCACCCATTGCGGAGCACAGGCTCCGGACGCGCAGGCTCAGCGGCCATGGCTCACGGGCCCAGCTGCTCCGCGGCATGTGGGATCTTCCCGGACCGGGGCACGAACCCGTGTCCCCTGCATCAGCAGGCGGACTCTCAACCACTGCGCCACCAGGGAAGCCCTTTTTTTTGGCCATACCCCTGCAGTGGAAGGTCGGAGTCTCAACCACTAGACTGCCAGGGAAGTTCCAAATCCGTTCTTATTTAGTGAAGACAGTGCCCAAACCAGAAACTGCAAAACTGTGAAAGGGAACTATTTTGGGAAAATATTTTTCTTGTTGCCTTTATCAAAAATGAAGCAGCCATGAGAATACAAGGGGAAAATCTAAATATGGTATTTTGGGGGGAAGGGATGACAGGGTTACTTTTCAGCATATTTTAATTGAAGCAAGACGTGAGTTGGCTCTAGTCACACAGGTGGAGTGGGGCTCCTTTGTGGCAGTGGATCGCAACCCAGGCTACACATTAGAATCACCTGAGGTGATATGGAAACTGCTAGTGCCTCAGCTCAGCCCTCAACTAGTTCTTACTCAATTGGCCTAGGATGGGCCTGGGCGTGGGTCTTTTTTAAAACTCCTAGTAAGTCCTAATGTGGAGCCAGTGATAAGAACACTGTTTTGGAGAAATTACCAAGGGTTTGGGAGGATCCGTTTTTTTTTTTTAACAATGTGTGAAACAAAATCGCTGCAGATTTGGCAGGAGATTGCAAAGTGACATGCCAATAGAAAGTATAATAGTAAACCTCTATTTTAGCTTATTTATTAGGGAACAACCAGTGTCCTGCTAGTTAACTTTGGGGGGCTATTTTTTCTAAGTTGGACTTTTCATACTGAAATAATATTTCCATCAAATGAACATCATTCCCTCACATTTGTCATTGTTTGAAGTCGTATCTTGACCTTCCAAAATGCCTTTAAAATTTCCTTTTGAGTCAGTTAAGTGTTACTCCTTCCTGGAACAGATAACTGGTTTAAGTGGTTTTTGGAATGTTCTCTGGTTTGATTTATGACCGTGAAAGTGAAACTGCACAACTTGGATGGGACTTGAACCCAGCCAAAACCCAGACTGGGTCTTGAACCCACTGTCTTTTAATTGAAATCACACACCTGGTCTCAGGACTTAATGAAGCTCAGGTTCTTTATATTTCAACATAGAAGGAATTCAGCCAGTGGCAAAGTGATAGGTAAGTAGATTTATTTAGAGAGATACACATTCCATAGAATGTGGTCCATCTCAAAAGGCAAGAGTGGCCCTGGGAGAAACACATTCCACAGACAGTGTGGGGCATCTCAGAAAGCGAGAGGCTCCAAAACACGGGGTGGTTAGTTTTTAGGGGCTGGGTAATTTCATAGGCTAATGAGTGGGAGGATTATTCCAACCATTTTGGAGAAGGGCTGGGGTTTCAAGGAATTGGGCCACTGCCCACTTTTTGCCCTTTTATGGTTGGCCTTGGAACTGTCATGGCAGCTGTGGGTGTGTCTTTTAGCTAATGTATTACAATGAGCGTATAATGAGGCTCAAGGTCTACTGGAAGTCGAATCTTTCACCATCTTGGACCTGGTTAGTTCTAACCAGTTATGTCATATCCTCAACGGCTATGTCATTCTTTAAGGGTTGTGCCCTGCCCCCTTCCCTCCTGTTTCAAAAGGAGCCTGAAATTGTGCAGTTGTTGGTTACTTGAAAATTTTTCTTGAAAAATTCTAAGGAAATGGGCAAGGCCTTAGCTGACTAGGGGTTCTGTTTTCAGCATCTTATTCAGCTACTGCGTAATTCTATTTTGTCTTCTGTATAATTGTTAAATATTCATTTTCTGCCTGTATCTGAAATTCATGAGTGATATTGTTCTGCATTTTCCATGATTGATCCTTGTTTTCAGCCTGAAGAGTCTTTCCTTTTCTTTCTTGTTTTTAATTTCCCAAGAGGCTTCTTAGAACTCGATTTTTATCCACCCCTGATATCCCAACAATTTATGTTGGTCCTCTAAGACCATTGCTATAGGACTCAATGGTGTTCTCTTATCTATCGGTGTTGTTTTGGATTGATTTGACCCTGGACTCCAAAAAAGCATTTATGTTTAGAAATTTGGAGATTTCCTGATGCTGCTTCATGGCTGGTTCTCCCCTGACATAGAGTAGGAAAAGTCCCAAGTGCTCTGTCCTGCAGGACAGCCCCACCATACACCCCCGCCCCCCCAACTTCACCCATGGCTGGAGAAAGCAGGCTTTTCCTAGAGCTCCCTGTGTCTGTGCCCTCTCCCTCTCTCCTGAGTTGCGGGCTACCCTCGAGCTTGAGCTGAGATATACAGAGAGAAGAAAACCTAGGAACTCTCTTCCAGGTCATCATTTAAGACCTGGGTTCCTTACCCAGTCCTGCTGCTCTTTATTCACTGTAGTAGGCAGAATAATGCCTTCCCACACAAAAAGATGTCAATATTCAAATTCCTGGCACCTGTGAATATATTACCTTACCTGGCAAAAGGGATTTTGCAAACTTAATTAACTTAATGATTTTGCGATGAGATTAACCTGGGTTATCTGGGTGGGCCAATGAAATCACAAGGGCCCTTATAAGAAACAGGCAAGAGAGTCAGAGGTAGTGGAGCTGTGATAACAGAAGCAGAATTCGGAGTGCTGTGAGTCAAGGAATGCAGGCAGCCTTTGGAAGCTGGAGATAAGGAAACAGAAGATTCTCTAGAGCCTCCGGAAGGAACACAGCCTTGCAGACCCATTTTACGTTTCTGACCTCTAGAACTGTAAGAGAACTTATCTGTGTTATTTTAAACCACTAAATTTGTGATAATTTGTTTAAGCAGCAAAAGAAAACTAATTCATCCACCTTTCGGAGTCATCTGGTAGTTGCTTTATGGATTTTGTCTAGGGCTCCTTGTTACAATCAGAGGGAGAGATGTGTTACCGGGCCCTTTCTAGATTCTTGGACAGCGTTACGATAGATATAAATGAATATCGCTTCCACAAGACTCTTAGGCAAGCAAAGCTTTTTATTAAAAGAAAGAGCTTGTGCACAAGGGAGAAGGCAGGAAAAAAATGCCAGCTCCCGGAGTAGAAGGGGCAAGTTGCTTTTATAACAAAAGGGAGGGTTTGTCTCATTATAACTGATAGTTTTGAGAAGTCGTCAAACTGTTTGATCAGCAGCAGATGGCTATCGGGAATAGGGAGCGCTTCTGGGAGGGGAAAGGCGTGCCTCAGAATTTTCTTCAAGAAAGCACAGGAGTAGGTAAGGTTAAAATTTATAGTTGAGGGCTTCCCTGGTGGCACAGTGGTTGAGAGTCAGCCTGCCGATGCAGGGGACACGGGTTCGTGCCCCGGTCCGGGAAGATCCCACATGCCGCGGAGCGGCTGGGCCCGTGAGCCATGGCCGCTGAGCCTGCGCGTCCGGAGCCTGTGCTCCGCAACGGGAGAGGCCAAAACAGTGAGAGGCCCCCGTACCAAAAAAAAAAAAAAAAAAAAAAAAAAAATTATAGTTGAGCTTCTTGTCTTATGGCAACTAGGTATACTTGCTAGTGCAACAGAGACAAAGTTAATTTTCTATTCCCGGGAGCCTGGTTTTTGTCTCTGGGGCTCAGGCCTCCAGGGCCTTTGTTCTTTAGCTTGCAAGGCCTGTTTTGCCCAAGGCCATTCCCTAGTCCTTTTCCAAAATGGCTGTGCTCTTTTCATCCTGTCTTAGATGGGGTGGAGTGTCCTTACTCCAGCTTGAGTGGAACCAGAGCCCATTATTATTATTTTTTAATTAATTAATCTATTTATTTTTGGCTGCATTGGGTCTTCATTGCTGTGCGCGGGCTTTCTCTAGTTGCGGCGAGTGGGGGCTGCTCTTCCTTGCGGTGCGCGGGCTTCTCATTGCAGTGGCTTCTCCTTGTGGAGCACGGGCTCCAGGCACGTGGGCTTCAGTAGTTGCGGCATGCGGGCTGTAGAGCGCAGGCTCAGTAGTTGTGGCGCACGGACTTATTATTATTAAATGAGGCATTTACTATACTCCTTCCTAAGAGCACCAGGTGGGGAACACGTTTTGTAAACTAGATCTAGGAAGTGGGATGTGGAATCAATCTATCCTCCTCCCCTTAAGGGCTGTCCAATGGTTAATGAATTAAAAAACATGACTAAATAAAAACAAATCCCACACACAGTCCCCCACCCAGAAAAAGGAAAAAAAAAACAAAACCAAAAATTAGATGTTCCAGATTACTCGCCAAAGTGGAACCCAGGAACAGCTTCAACAACCCAAATTAGTCTGTTACAGAGTCATCACAAGCATGCCTTGCTTTTAAACAAAAAATAATTTTTTTGAAACAACAAAATAAAAACTACTACTGATCACTTTTCTGACAATACACTATTACTCAAAATTAGCTAGTATTGAGGGGGGAAGGGGGCCATAGCTATGGGCCTTGTCTCACATGAGTGCATGTGGGTAGGTGCAGGGCATTTGTCATTATTGCAAAAATGAATTTTAATTTTTTAATCTTTAGTTTGATTTAAACATTGCTTTTAGTATATCATGAGTGATATTTGCAACAAAAAGAATAAAATGCCTAGGAATAAACCTACCAAGGGAGACAAAAGACCTGCATGCAGAAAACTATAAGACACTGATGAAAGAAATTAAAGATGATACAAACAGATTTTTTCAGCTCTCTACGTGCTTAATTCTGTCCACCCACTCAGAAATCGCCCATGGCCATAAGCAGTTTATGAGCCTTTTGTAAAGACAGTCTTCTGAAATCAAGAGACTCTGTGTTATAATGGAATTTTGGTTTTGCTTTTTTACGGCAAAGATAAATGCAGTCATTGAGATAAGTAGGCAAGTTCCATTTGGTTTTTTCCGAAAAGGCTTTGGAATTATTTTAGTGAT